CCTGATAACCAAGGATCATGCAGACACAGCCCATCTGTTTTGGAATCTGGGTGCAACTACACTACATAGACTATTGTATTACAGTTTCAGTATGACATTACATATCAATGATTCTATCCAAGTAGCTTAAATGTTGGTGTGAAACACACACTACAGCACAGCACTTTACAGCTCTGTTTGTAATGTCTGTCACATGATAGAAAAACAATCTGAAACAATATATTTCACACCACTGTTGATAAAGACAGGGATTATACAGCATGCTGAACCTACCAAGAATGCCCGTCTTGTACAAGATCAGCCCCACAACAGCACCAACAACCACAATTGACCCTATCACTGCGCCGATGATGATACCCGTCTTGGAATCTGCAGCTTTATCAGAGTGAAGAGAAACACAGGAGACATTCACATTAGTTTCATGTTCACGTCACCAGAATTTCCATGTTGCGCTGAAATGTAAATGCAAATACATTTTAATTACACAAAACGATATGAAATTCCCCTTTTGTACAGGGGAGAAAAACATGTGAAGTTAAAAAATATTCTCAGATGAGATGACGCCATTGCAAAAATCAAACTAATGTTTGTCTTTGTTAAACCTGCAGTGTAGAACTTTACTGGAAGGCAGAGATCCTTCCTCTGAATTTTATTTTTTAACTTCAGCTTCTGAAACTTTTCTTGGATGCTTCCAAGATTTTTCTTCCATAACCTCAACCACCCTCCTCGCTGTTGTAGCCTAATCTGTCTCCATTGTTTCAGTTACTTCCATCTTCAGCTCTGGTAAACCGATCATCGCTGCATCCGGTGTACCAGTGCAGCAATGTTTGACATTATATTTTAAACTTTGGTATACTGAGAAATACAATTCTTTCCTTCACATTTGTTCATACATATAAACCCTTGCGTAGATGGCACTGCTGGCAGCTTTAATGCGCTACAAACTGAGTCTGAATTCTAACATGGTTTGTCTGAGATGTGATGGGGGAACTGCATGCAAAACAAAACTGTGACAAATTAGAAAAAACAATAGAAAGTTACTTACTCCAAAGATGCTCAATGTCTATATCAGATGCTTTATGAATGATTCGACAGCTGTAGGTCAACACATCAGTCTTCAAAATCTCCACATGGTCTTTCCTCTGAAAGGTGTCGTCATCATTTGGACGAACACCTGAGCTCTCCACCCCGTCCAGTTTTTCCAGGACACGGCCGTTCTGTTTGATCTGCAGAATGATGTCTTTTGGGTAGAAGCCTGTGGCCATGCAATTCAGAACCACATTGGTCTCCACTTTGGACTTCGATGTATACACGAACACCTCAGGTGGAGCTAGAGAGAAATTATAAAGGGATGTTTGAAGGGTGCTGAAGTAACCACATACAACCATTTGTAACGCTGATATTCCCATAATAACCTGATTCAGTCATAAGCACTGGTCAACAACTGGTTGGGGTTTGACAAGTTGATTCCACGTTTCAAACATACATTTATTACTAAAGCTATGTCGAGAATATCAATTATAAAAACACAGTGCTTATTTCTTGTCATACTTACAGACTTCTTTCAGCTGCTGTTGCCCGAACTCCATGAACTCCTTCAGCCACTTCATGCACTCATTCTCCAGGTAGCCCTTGGTGTACTCTTTCAGGACCTGGACGCCGTCCCACTTCCTCTTGGTTGGCAGCGCCGCTTCAACCGGGGCGATCCAGACGCCGTTTGTATCATCAAAGGACAGGAAGTCGTCTCCATCGTAGTTGTACATGTCCATGCCGGTGACAAATGTGAGAGAGCCGTCGGGCTGGACATCGCCCACACAGCCATGCATCCACTGGAGAACATGGACGTCTGAAGGAAAGATGCAGATAAATACCCATCCAGNAAATATTAAAGGCCATCTGCCACAATCTGTTTCTGTATGTGTATTTGTATGTTTACAGAGGAAAAGATTTACCATTGGTGAGAGGCACACCCTGCTTGTCAATTGAAGTTGCTATACAGAAACACAAAAAATGAGAGGACTCAACCCGTTTTCACGTTTACTGATTTACACTTCTGTTGTATATGACATTATTTGACGCTACAGGAACTTTGTGGGAAATTACAACAGACATATTTTAATGATTTCTGGCATTTTGTAGATAAAACTATGAATCCAAAAAATTGTAGCAGTACAGACATAAACCTATCAAAATTAACACAAACTAAATATCATTATCAGAGAAATAAAGCACTTACTTGGCATGTAGATGGCACTCGCAGCAGGTACACCTGCTAATAAACACACAGTTAAAACGTGCTCTGACAAAATGACCCATTTTTATCTTGTCTTTACAGTCTGAGTGAAGTTAACCGTGCAAACGTTGCAGCTTGTGCATGACTTAAAGGAGGAAGCTGGCTTTCAGTTGTTCTTCTTAAAGTGAGTAAATCACAGAAGACATTCAGCTTTGGGTTTCTGTCTCATAATTTTACACGTCTGCATCATCACAAAAGGCCACATCAGCATTTCATTTTAAAATCACAACTTCAGTAACAAACATCACATAAAGCCCTCCAGCAATCAACACTGAACCTAAAAGTAAAAGAGCTGCAATGAACTAAAGGAAGTCTTGGTGGANTAAAAACACAGTGCTTATTTCTTGTCATACTTACAGACTTCTTTCAGCTGCTGTTGCCTGTACTCCATGAACTCCTTCAGCCACTTCATGCACTCACTCTCCAGGTAGCCCTTGGTGTACTCTTTCAGGACTACGATGCTGTCCGACTTCCTCCTGGTTGGCAGCGCCGCTTTAACCGAGGCGATCCAGACGCCGTTTGCATCTCCCAAATATTCATGTACAGAATGAGTCATAATGCTTGGACCTTTATTGAAATGAAATGAAATGAAATGAAATGAATGAAATGAAATGAAAAATACTTTATTTATCCCAGAAGGGAAATTCAATTATTGGTTCAGTAACTGCTATACAGTGACTAAAAATAAGCTACAAACTCAAAGTTATCAGACTTGAACCAAAACCTTTTCTCCCCTAATAAAAGTGACAGAAATCTGGGTGTCACCACCAATTCAGATGAAACATTTCATCGCCAACATCACAGGAAGTGCTTTTTTTTTTTTTTTAAATTCTACAGTACAATAACATAACACACAGACTGAGCTTTTTCACTTTGTTAAGGAGTTTAATGGAAACTTGGTTTTCTGTTTAAATTTTCTGTTCAACTAACTTAAATAATCAATCCTCTTTTTAGAAACTTTGATCAAGTTGGAGTTTCCAGTTGAGATGCCAGTTTTGCACTTGACTATAAAAATCTTTCATTTACATTTCATGCAGTGCTGCATGACATGCAGTACAAAAAAGATAAAATATATATCAGCTGATATATCATTGAGGGAGTTTTTTCTCTCAAGTATCTGTCAAAAGGAAAACAAGGAAATCAAACTTTTACAATCAGACTTTGCTCTGAAGCAATTCTGATTTATCATGTCACATGTATCTGAATATATGTCGTCTATTCACATACTCAAACTGCTACACCCTCGTTTGAACATGGCTTCATAACTTTTTTACAACATTTTATTTCATGCAGAGAAATTATTTCTTGTAGTTGATGGAATTTAAATCGATAGATTTTTGAGAATTCACAAAAAGTTAAGTTTACAGTTGTGCCTTTTGTCTCACTGGTACCAATAAAGCAGCAACAAAACCAGCTAAGTTAGGCTTTTTAATAATGTGCTGTTGCTCTGGACACTGCTGTTGTTTACAGGTGTTTTTTTTGGTTTATTCTTAGGAATTTAAATATATTCTAAGTTTAGTATTGAAGGTTTTCAGCAATTTCAGACATCTCCTTTGATTTTAGAAAACCTTTACCGTTTAAAAAAATATAT